TTTGTCACCTGATTGTAAAGTTGCTTTTTGTCCCACTTGCCATACTATACTCTTGGGAAGGAAGTTGCTATGAGCAGCCCCCATTAATGAGTGAGGAGTTATGTTCCCCTTCCTTTAAGGTGGGGTATCTGTATAATTTATCTGGAATTCTTCTGCATGGGAGATTAACTTAACTCTCCCATTTACTAATTCACTTATTTATAACAGTATGGATTCACTAACATTTATTTTATATTTTCAGTTGTAATCCATTCTTTCTTCGTTTGTTCAAATTGGTCCAGCTTTGGCACTGTCGATGATCTTTTAAAGAACATTTTTTAAAATAAGAAAACAAATCTTATATTTACTTGTATACTCTTACTGGTATTCCTTATTTTATACCAGATTTCCATCTCATTTCATTTACTTTCTTCCTGAAGTTCTTTCTTTAGCATTTCATGTGGTATGTGTTGGCTACTGATGAATTCATTCAGCTGTTACAGGTCTGAAAAATGGTTTTATTTGGCTTTTGAAAGATACTTTCACTGGGTATTATATTCTATGTTAACTTTTTTTTCTTTTAGTGCTTTAAAGATGTTTCTTTACTGCCTTGCATTATTTTCTATGAGAACTCTTTTTCTTTGTTTCTCTTTAAGTAGTGTGTTATTTTTTCTTTCGTTGCTTTTACGTTTTTTCTTTCATCATTGGCTTTTGTCAATTTGGTTATGATATACTTCGGTGTCATTTTCTTCATCTTTTCCCTCTGTAGAGTTTGTTGCAGCTTTTTAATTTTTAGATTTGTGCAGCTTTTTTATTTAATTTGGAAAAACTTTAGCCATTATTTCTTCAAATATATATTTTTTTCTCCCTCTCACCTATATTGGTTACTCCAAATACACATGTGTTAGGCCAATTTAAGTTGTTGCATAATTCATTAATGGTCTGTTCATTTTTTAAAACTGTCTCTATGATTTTTTGGGTAGGGATGTTCTATTTCTGTCTTTGGGGTACATTACCATCTTCTTTTGCTTGGTTTACTCTGCTGTTAATACCATCTAACATTTTTTTCATTTTAGACATTATGTTCTTTATCTTTTCAATTAGGTCTTTGTATCTTTTCTGTGTCTGTTTAGCAATCTTGTGCTTTCCTCAACCTTCTTAAATACATGTAATATTGTTATAACTGCTTAAAAAATTTAGAGCAGTTTTATCATCTGCCATTTTTATATTTGTTTCTCTTGATTTTTCTCTTAATTATGAATTTTATTATTCTGTTTATCTGCATACCTGGTACCTGAAACATTCTCTGTAATGTTTCAATTGAATGCCAGACATTGTGCATTCTACTTGTGTGTTAGATATTTTTTATTCTCTTACATATTCTTGATAGTTGTTCTAAGCTGCAGTTAAATTATTTGGAAAACATCTTTTCAATGTCTGCCTTTATGCTTTGTTAAGCAGAAACAGAATAGACTTTAGCCTAGACTAATGTAGGCTCTACCATGGAGGCAACACTCTTCTATTTGTTGGCCCTTATAGTACAAGGTTTTCCACTTTGATAAGAACATGGCAATTCCCAGCCTTGTGTGAGCTCCAAGGTTGTTTTGCATGTTCCATTCTCATGGTACCCCAGCTTTGGGTGTGGTTTTCTTGTATCTATGCAGCAATCACTACTTAGCTGAAGCCTCCTTTTGAGGAATCCTTTGAAGTTCTCTAGGTCTACTTTCTGTAGTTCTTTCTTCTCCATGTATTTCTCTTTGATATTGTACATCATGAATTGTGCATACCTTGGCTTCCCCTAACTCATTCTGGTCTTCTCAAATCAGAGAGAATGTTGGCTCTATTTGGTTTTTCATCCTTGCCCTGCAGCCTGAAAATTCTTTAGCCATAAGGCTGGCTACTTACAGAGATATTCTCATCTGTTTCCCTTTCATGGACCACTGTCTTACAATGCCTATTGTTTGATGTCTGAAAAATTATTGTTTCATACATTTTTTTAATCCTCACTGAATGATATATTTATTGATTTTTTTTTAACAGAGAGAGGAAGGAAGAGAGAGACAGAGAGGACGCGGGATATTGATATGAGAGCGAAACATCAGTTCGTTGCCTTTTCTGTATGGGCCCCTATTTGGGATTGAACCCACAGCCTAGGCATGTGCCCTGACCAGGGATCAAACCCACACCCTTTTTGGTATACTGGATGATATTTCAAACAACTGAGCCACCTGGCCAGGGCTCGTACATAGTTAGTTCAATATTTTACCTAATGTGGGAAGGTAAATCCTCTCTCTCTCTCTCTCTCTCTCTCTCTCTCTCTCTCTCTCTCTCTCTCTCTCTCTCTCTCTCTCAGTCATGGCAAGAAACAGAAGTTCCCTTAAAAATTCTGTTCCCTTGTTGCTTACAAAATCTTGCTTGGAGAAGTCTGATGCCAAACTATTCTGTTTCCCATATAAGAGTTTTTTGATATTTTTGTTAGAAGCTATAGACTTTCTGTCTAAAATAAAAGTGTGTTGTTTAAAATAACTCTCAGAGTGGGTCATTATGATCCAGTTTTCTCATGTGTCCAGTGTTTTTTTTTTTTCAGTATGTATATTTCCACAGAGTATACTTGGATTATAATTTTAAATGTTCTTTTGTACTATTTTGATTTCCTTATAAAGTTCTCCAATTATTTGTAGATTCGATTTTCTTTGCTTATTTTCCATTTCAGTTGTTTTTCTCTGATGGTTTTTAATTTTTTCCTCATTTTGTAATTTTCTTGCTTTCTCTTTGCCTCTTCTGAAATTTTTATTTTACTTCTTTCTTAAACACCAATTCACTTATTCTTCCATTTTAATATTTTGTGTTTCTCTTCATTTATTTTTTACAATTTCTGCTTTTGATTTTTGAATTTCTGAATCTTGGTGTAAACACTCACTATAAAAATACATAACTCAGCATTGTAATTTGTTTATGCCTACAGTTTTTGTTTGCATGGCAAATTGCCATCACTGAGATGTTTGGATTATCTTATTCTGTGTTTGTCTCATAGTAGCATGGCGTTGATGAAAATACTATCTAAGTTTGAGATCAATTTGACTGTTTGCAATAGTTTATAAAATTCTTAGTTCAAAAATACTGGCTTCTGTTAGTTTATTTAATGGATGATGTTTTTGGTAGTGCCAAGGAAGAAGTTGAGTGTTTTTATTTTATTATATGAGAGCCTACATTCACCATTCTTATTTATTTTTCCTCTTAACACCCAGTTTCCAAAGGATCTCCCTTCCCGCCTTTTTTACCATCTATTCCTACATTTCTTTTCTAAGCCAGGCTTCTTGACTTTTGTATTCATATTTAGTCTCTTCCCTGAAGTCAGTGTTCTACCAGATTCCAATCTGTCAGACTCTTTATTAGTATTTTTGCATTTGGTCCAGTCCCCTCTTCTCTCTTCCATGCATTTTTTTCTGAACCCCCTAGTTGTCTAAAAGGACTCGCTGTGGGAGCTGCAGAGTGGAAACCACTGGAAGGTGGCCCATTTATATTTTTTGCTATAAGTAATTTGAAATTGATTACATTCTCTGTCTTCTGATTTTGCTGAAGAAATGAGATTTTTGTGGGGGGCGGTTTGTTGTTGTTCTTGACATCGATCTCTATAATTTTGGGGGAGGGCATGTGGATAGATTCACATTTAGGCAAATGTCAGTGCTTTTGTTTCTTTTAAGACTGGAAAATCTGCTTCTTGAAAGCAATTAACTAAAAAAGCTAATTTGGATATTTTCTTTAATCAGAGAAGTATGATGACTTGTGACATGGCATTTGACCTTTTAAAGTGGCTGGATTTTGCAAATAAGGGACTTAGAAATATTATTCTTTCAGATAACAGATCAGTAGGGAAGTTTTACTATTTTTCATGTAGATTTTGAATTCCAGATTGTTCTTACACCTATGAGTGGGATGTCTATAAAGTTAGGTTAAAGTTGCTACATAATACCTTTTAGTGCTTTAATAAAATAGTGAATTATTGTTACTTGACCTTTTGAAAAGGTCAGTAGTACATTTTGTTTCATTTTTTTAAAGGACATTTAAATGTAATGAAAGTCAGAACTGTAATATTACCATGAAAGTAAAGGTTATGGGGTACATTTAATTGTGTTCCTCTATTTTTGAAACTGCTTTGAGGGAGTCAGTGCTAAAATTCTCGTGGTAATTGTTTTTTGAGAGTTTTATTACTCTTTTTCATTTTATACTGTTGGAGTAAAAGATTATAATTGTTTGTCTTTTTCCACTTACTTTTGCTCAGATTTCATGTGTATTAACCTATTTAAGGTACAAAGTTGAAGCTGCTTACTTATTCACTTTCTGAAGAAAGTAAAACTGAACATATTTCTCAGAGAACAGTCCTTAAAGACTCTTGAGTAAAATTTGGTATATTCAAATGTATAGCTAGTAAATGTTTAAATAAAAGGAAGTAATGTAATATGTTAGCAATGTTATTTGTTAAAGGTCTGCAAGTATGGGAGAATTAAATACATTCTGATTTATGAAAGTATTTCTCTGATGTTTGTATATTTAGATTATTTAACTAAATATATTTTCATTTTATAAAGTATAAAAAATTAAAAATATGAAACCCAAAATGTATTGCATATTCCTATTTTACATTGTGATTTTTTCTTCTGTATTCAAAGTGATTTAAAGGAATTTTGTTCTTAATAAATTTATTTTCTAAAAAATAACATTAAAAATTTTTATGCCTACATTAGCAATTTCTTATGTTTCTTACATTTATGAGTGACTTTCTCTGTGAAAAGTCCTTAGTGTTTTGATTTCCCAATAATTACAAAGTTTCAGACAGCTATTTTACTTCAGATGCAATATTCTGTTGCTTATAGCTTTAACAGGTATAAACATTTGAATAAAGTTGATACCTTTTAGAAAATAAAAGAAACATTGCCTTTTTTATGTGATTCTAAAATTAAGTGAAACTCATGACATTAAGTTAAAGATAAAAATGTGAATGTTTTCAATATTTTCCACAGGGAAGAGATTTCCACATTAAAATATTGTTGCCTGAAGATTTGCAACTGAAGAATGCAAGGTGATGAGGTGTTTTGTTCCATGCATGCATCTTTGTGGGATGGGCAGTTAGTTAATCTGCTATGAACTGATTTTAGTCATTCAAGTTTTTCCTAAAATGCTTATCAGTTATTTTTTATTTTCCCAAGTCAGTGTGGATTTGTAAATGATTTCTCCTGGTCCTGAAGGGTTTTTCAGTGGTGACACATTAATTCTCTATTTTTTTCCATTAAAGCAGTAACAGCAATTGTGTAAGTTTCACGAACAAGTACTGAACAGAAGTATAAAGGGAGACTACATAAGAATTAGAGAACTGTTTCCAACTGCTGACTGATGTTATATTCTGTGTATATTCCGTCTGTTGCCAGACCTATATTATCAGATCAGTCCTGGTATAAGTTAGGTATCAACGTGGGTTGTTGGACAGCCTGTCAATGAATGTGAAGAGATGACACTGGGAATGTAGGTAGTGCCCCAAATCTCATTTCTGCTCCGAAATATGTGTAGGGATGCATGGGAGGAAGAATCCAGAAATACTTACAAGTAGAATTAACAGGATTTTGTGATGTTAGAAGAGGGAAAGAGAAATGTAGATGCTTTTCAAGTTCCTGGCTTAGATCACTAAGGTAGAAAAAAGGTCACTAGTGGAAAAATAGAAGAGAAATTGTTTTAAGACATATCAGGCATGAAATATCAAGAGGAACTATTTAATAGGTAGTACTATATTGGTGTGGAACTCCAGTGTGAGACCTGGAATGGAGATGTTTCTGGAAGTCACAGTAGACATGGGCATTGGGACTATGAGTATGGATAGACTTCCCAATGCCTGCAGGTGTGGGGTGAAACAAGAAAGCCAGTGATAGGCTCTTGAGGGCATACTAAAGGACTGGTAAATAAAGAGGACCTTGCAAGGAGGCTAAGGATTGACCAGGAAAGAGGAAATCTGAAGCCAAACAGAGACTTAAAGAAGGAATGGTTAACAGTGTTGAGTTGCAAAAGGATCATGTTAGATATGATTAGGTTTTATGTAGATAAAAGCCAGGTGTGTTGAGTTTTAACCTGTATAAACTACTTTGAAAAGTAGTGTTGGGAAAACTCAGAGAGGCATCCTACTTCTAGGTTAGTTAAGTCACTTCCCTAGGAGGGTTTCTTACCTAGCAATGTTGAGAGCACTGCTGGAGTGAGCCAGCAATAGATGAACATGAACGTACAACTAACACAATTAAAAGTCTGTATTCTTTTAGTTACATTACTCTGGAATTTGAAAATTATATTGCTACATACACTTTTTCAAATACAAGTTCTATATATTATGATCTAAACTGTTAGTTTTATTTAACCTACTTTGGATCAGAATCTAGTTCAATAGAAAACTTTGCCATGTTAAAACTTAAAAAAAAGATGTACTTTTTGCATATCTTTTATTGATTGCAGTTATTTATATTTTGAAATAAAATTAGTACTGACAGTTTGAAGACTTTCAACTCTATAAGTGGTAAAACTTTATTAACTTGCCAGAACTATGTTTATGTTATTCTTTTCTATGCTCATGCCTGTTTGTGTTATACTTTGTTTCCTATTTTGAACAATGAACACATTATTTTATTCCATTAAAATTTTAGATTACTATGTAGTTGGCAGCTGAGGACAATACTTAATGGATACCATCAAATAGTACAACAGGTAAGTCCTTCAAAAGTTTTAAGCAAGGATAAGAAATCACTAAGTTTAGTCTTTTTTAAAGACCTACTTTGCAGAATGTTGTTAACAAACTGTTTAATAGTTGCTAAATTTTATAGGTTTCACCTCTATGAAATATTGTAAGGATCCATAAGTTACATAAAATGTTTTGTCTCAGAATCCTTAGCACATCTCCAGGCAGCATTTGTGTTGAAACTAATTTCCATCCTTGAGATTTTAGGCCTTCAAAAGCATTCACCCTTATCCATATCTATCACTTTTTGAGTGGTTTTTCTGCTAAGATTGAATAGCGGTGGTATGAAAAAAATGCCTGGACCCATTTTGGAGATGTGGGATATCTGTGGCAAAGATGAGATTGTAGTTCTAGATTAGGAACAGAAAAGGTGTAGTGGAAATCATTTAGGATTACATGTGTACATAATAGGAGTAGTAAAGGCAGTATCGAGGTGCAGGCAGTGTTAATTTCATTATTCTTTTTTTTTAATTTTATTTATTTATTTTTAGAGAGGGAAGGGAGGGAGGGGGAGAGAGAGAGAGAGAGAGAGAAACATCAATGTGCGGTTGCTGGGGGTTATGGCCTGCAACCCAGGCATGTGCCCTGGCTGGGAATCGAACCTGGGACACTTTGGTTCCCAGCCCATGCTCAATCCACTGAGCTATGCCAGCCAGGGCTTAATTTCATTATTCTTTTAAAAATTATTTTATAACTAGAAGTTTGTACCTCTTGCCCACCTTCACCCATTTTGCCTACCTCCTAAACCTCAGTTTAGTTATTCTTAATGTTTAGGTTTCTGTACCCCAAAATTCATTTAAAGATTAGAGAAACGTAAAAACAAAATCACTATTACTGTAGCAACCAAATGTAATGAAATGGCTCTTGTGGAAAAATAAATTAAGTAGAACTGCATTTCATTTGTGTGTTCTTCCCTCCTATATTTTCTCAATCTAAAAAGGCAGGTTATTATCTATGATAACTGACAATGACAGAAACTCTCACATAAAGCATAACTAAACCACAAAGAAGTAATAGGAGATAAACTATTTGATTTGTAGATTATGGGCTGTCATTTCTGGCAGTATAATTACAGCAGTTTTTTACGGGGATGTTTAAATTACTTCTTTCTGTTTTCTATCCACTGCCCCCTCCTCATCCCCCATGACTATTTATATTGTACATTAAAGTTTAAGAAATGAATCTATTGAGATATTTAAATAACCTGAAAAAATTTAATGAAGACTGAGTATAATAATATCTGTTTTTTCTTCACCAATTCACCAAGGGGTTTCTAGAAAAAGTTCCAATTACTACATAATCTCTTCCCTATCCAGTTGGTCGTGTAGAACCCAGTATTAGTTGAGTCTTTGTTTTATTTCAAAATCTAGGTGAATATTACTATTCTTTTTTTGTATCATTTTTAACTAGTAAACATGGATCAGGGAGATCAGTAGCATTTTTCAGCGAAGGGCCAGATAGTAAACTTTTCATTTTAGTTGAGGACCTAAACAGGTACTCAACTCTTCCCTGTAGTGTCAAAGCAGCCATGACAAGAGTTAAAGGAATGGCTTAGTTTCATTGTAGTACAAATTTATTTGCACAAGCATGCATTGGCTGGATTTAGCCTCTGGACTGTAGTTTGCAGACCCTGTGTATAATTTATTACTCATCTCTACAAAACAAAGGGGGAAAGATATTGTATAGGAGAAGGAAAAGTCAAAGATTTGTTCTACAAGCATGGTCCCATTCAAAGCTATGTTCATATGTGAATCATATATCCCATGCATTGCTGAAATATCTTAGATTATTATTTTTGTATCTAAAAAGAGTGAACAAATCCACATATTGATTTTGTCCAGAACTATGTGGCTGTAGTGCAGTGTTTCACAAAATATAACAAAAATACAATATTTCGATTTCAGGCAGAGAAATAATAGAGTTTTATCTTAAGAAAACAATTTTAAATTAGAATTTTCTTTGCTTTCTTTTATTGTATAATTATTTTAAGAATGATTTCTAAGAAATGGAACCATGAGTCTTAATTATTCATTCTACTTTGGAGAAGTTTTTTTTTTTTTTGGCCATTTTGTTATATTTCCTTTACTTTATTAAAAGACAGACTCTTTTTTGAATTAATATAGATTAATTGTGAAAGAACAAAGGCTATAATCAGGTGGCCTTTAAGGTCAATGAAAAAAATAGATGGTATTATTAATAATTATTAATTAGTTGCTCTAGTTTTTTAATTACATAGATTTTCCTGATTTTTACATACTCTGCTATTATTTGTACTTTCTTTACTCCCATATCACTTTTTTATAAGAAAACAAGCAATATTAATGTGGTTTGCTAGATTTGCTAAACTCGATAGTAATCAGTGATGAAGAAGAGAGGAGTGTGTGACATTTTTACTAGTTGAGTTTATCTCACCAGAGTAGATTTTAGGGCTGTAATTACTCTTTCAAAATGAAACTGGTAGGAATAGTAAGGATGATGACTAATAGTCCAATTCTGATACTTCGATGATATAGATAAAGCTATTTTTTTTTCACATTCACATGGACGTATATTTTATTTCAGTTGCAGTGCATGGAATATTCATTGTACAAGTGAAATTAATTGAAAATGTTATTTTGATCTAGAGAATGAAGCACTCTCCTGATCTAATGAGCTTTATGATGGAGTTGAAGATGGTTTTGGTATGTGTTTTCTAACATAGTTACCATATTCTCTAGGTCTTGATTGCTTTTGTAATTCCTGTAAAAACTAATATAAGAATTTAAAACTCAACTTCCAAACAGTTAATGTTTAATTTTATTGTGTGCATAAATGTGGATGGTACTCTTCTTGAACTGTGTGAGGAACAGAACTGTTTGTAAGAACCAATTTAATTTTATCATAAACTGGGTATACTAGAAACTAGTCATGGGTAGATGATGAAGAAGTAAAATGTAGTCCTTTCTGTTGGAGAATTTAACATCTTCAGGGAGATTAGGTAGTACACCTAAAGACATAATACAATGTGTAAATAGTTTTGTATAAAGCTGTAGATTATTGAAAAACTTACTAGGCTTTATTATATATATACTGTACAGTTACTTATAATAATTGATTATTCAGTTAGTCAATTATGTATAAAATATTCTATAAACACTGTATTTTTTTTAAAACTTCTTGTTATGTAAGTTTTCAACAAAAACAAAAGGGAGATTATAGTGAATAGCCATGGGGCCATGATTTACCTTCAGCATTTAGGAGAAAGGAACTGGAGTATTTTTTTTATCTTTACCCCAGGATATTTTTTATTATTGATTTTAGAGTAGAGGAAGGGAGGAGAGAGAAGGGAGACACATTGATATGAGAAATATCGATCAGTTGTCTCCTGCATGCACCCTAACTGGGGATGGAGCCTACAGCCTATGTATGTGCCCTGATCGGAATCGAACCTGCAACCTTCTGATGTATGAGACAATGCTACAACCAATTAAGCCACCTAGCCAGGGTGGGACTGGAGTATTTTTAGAGAAAAACATGGACATTGAGTCCAGTCCTCCATAAATGTCATTGTATATCTTTAATAGCTAAGTGTTTTTTGTTTCTCTTTAAATATGCTATTCTGACCCCAACAAAGTTAGTGATAATTCCTTATAGCTGCTGTGTTTATCTTAGTATGCAGATAAGGTCCACACTTTATATTTGGTTGCTATATATCTCTTAAGTCTCTTAAGTTATAAGAGAAGCTCCTCTTTCACCCACCCTTTTTAAAATGCCATCTACTTGTTGAATAAACCAGATTATGTGTCATGTAAAATTTCCCACTTTTTGGATTTGGTTTATTAAAGATAGTCATGGTGTCTTTTAACATATTCTACTGTTTTTAATAATCTGAGAGTTAGATCTACAGGTCTCAACAAAGTTGGGTTTTTTTGTTCTGCTAATAGTACTTTGTGCTCTGTACTTCATATATTGCATCGGGAAGTACATGGTGTCTGATAGTTCCTCTTTTAGTAAAGTTAGGGTTGATCAATAGGTTTAGATACATCCAATATAAAGCTTTCCATCAGCCTGTCTTACCTAACAATATTAGCATCCAGTGATGGTCATTGCCTACATCCTCTGTTTCATCAGAAGTTACAAATGGTGATTTTAAAAATGGCATCATTCACATTTATTAGCTGAAAATCTTCTATAAAGAACTTGCCCTTATCTGTTATTTGTTGAGGTGTAGCTCATACTGGAGAGATAGGATAAGTGTCTATTTCTCTTTCTTTTCTTTCTTTTTTTAGTCAATTTATAGAATAATAAGTTGGTGCCTACAAACTGTCAAAGGTAACTAATGATTTTTTTAGTATCATTATGAACTCTAGCATACTTATATATTTGATTAACTTTAATTCATTGCAATTATTATTTTTGATTGTACACTTTTTGGTCAGTGTAAGCCCCTTCATGTTGGCTCCTGAGTTTTCTTTTCTTTTCTTTTCTTTTTTTTTTTTGACACAATCAAGTTTTGCTTTCTGCCACCAGTTAGCTCCAGGTTCATGTACTCATCCTATCCAGAACTGTAATCAGTTATTTCTCCAAAGAACCATGGTTTCTTGGTAGAAAATGGTTATTTGTATGCCACAGTCTAGAAACTCATGTGCTCATTCAGTAACTTCTAGGCTTTTTTAGTGGACAAAGCTAGGAAAAAATACTTTTTAGAAAGAGCAAATGTGAGTTCACATTAATATTTCCCATTCAGATTTGGCATTTTAGTGTTTTTATTTCTTTGATTTTTTTATTGCTTATATCTTTTTTATCTTGCTTTGAAAAATCTTTATTTTAGTATTAACATAGTTATTATTTTTGGTCTATTGGTCATTTGATTTTGAAGAAACGTTAATTGAACCCTAAAAATATTGAGTTAATCTCTAGGTCACAATATTCTATTTAGTACATTTGTTATTGCATTTATGAATAAAATAAGATACCATTTATTAGCTTTCTAAAGAAACTATGGACAGAGTTGGCAATATTATTACATATATATGACAGTATACCTAAAAATAGAAGAATTATTAGTTTATTTGTTGGTGTGTGTTATCAGTAATAAGGTTCCTATAATATAATCACCAATAAAAGTATTGATAACTAAATGAAATTAGTAGTTTCTGAATTTGTTCAGGAAATTTTACAAATCTCCCATGGAGTTTCCTAATAACAACTGGTCATATAGTAGCAGCTCAGTATAGATTTAATAAATGAATTAGTTACCCATATTTTTAAAAACTATCTGGGGTGTAGGTCCTTTTATTCCTGTTTTAGAGCTGAGTCACTGAGCACCTAAAGCCTCAAAACTAGGAAATGTTCAAGTTAGGATTTAAAATCTTCATTTGTAAAGCTTGTGTTCTCTCTACTATGCACTTTTGCTGCCTCCTTCATGAAGAATGTTTTTCTTCTCAACCTTTGCCTTTTTTCCTGTTACGGTTTTAGAATAGGAGTAAGTTGTCTGACCTAAGGAAGAAGTCAGGGTTTACAAATGTCATAAATTTAGGATTGAACTACTTTTTTTTCCTCTTCTTTTTCTTTTTTAAAGAGAGAGAGAGAAACATTGATCTCTTGCCTCTCACGTGTCCCCAGCTGGGGACCCAGCCCACAACCCAGGCATATGCCCTGACTGGGAATCGAACAACAACTTTTTGGTTCACAGGCCCACACTCAATCCTCTAAGTCACACCAGCCAAGGCTAAACTACTTTTTAAGTTATTTTCTAAGTTTCTTTTTACTTTCAATATCTGTGGATAGCAGTAACTAATATTTCTGAATAAAAATAGAAATTTCAGAGGAAATACTGTAATAGCTGTTATATGTATAAGTATGTGGTAATGAAGGGCTTTTGTTTATAAGATTGTGATTCATAATGAAATACAAATATATTAGTCTAAGCAATGTACTTAGAGTGTAGGCTTTTCTTTAAAGGTACATGTTTCTTTCAGTCAAACATTATGTCCACAGGAGTAGTAAGATAGTAAAGCCTTGGGGATGAGTATTTTTTAAAAACTTTTTTTATCTTTGATAGGTATTATAGTCTAGGAAAATATTAAGATCTTAAGGTTGAAGGTATAATATTTGACATTTTTATATGATCTTCAGTGCAATCCTTTAACTTTTTTGTGTCTCTGTTTTTTATAAGAAGTGGAATGATTCAGTTGCATTTTCTGTAAAAATAATGGCCACTTTAGTTAGGCACAAAGAAGATTATGAAATTGTGTTGTGTAATCAGGTACTAAAAATTCATTGTCTATCATTCCACAGCTGATTCAGGTTTTTTTTTTCTTTTAAACAGGAAGTTGCCTTAAAGAATAAACAAGAGATACACGCATTACCTCCTCCTCCTCAATTCTACTCAAGCCTTATTGAAGAGATAGGAATTCTTGGTTGGGATAAGTATGTCTATTTGAAAATATGTTTTTGTTTTTGTTTTTTTTTAAGATTTATTTATTTATTTTTAGAGAGGGGAGGGAGAGAGAGAGGGAGGGAGGAAGGGAGAGGGAGGGGGGGGGAGAGAGAGAGAGAGAGAGAGAGAGAGAGAGGGAGAGAGAGAGAGAGAGAGAGGGAGGGGGAGGGGGAGCGGGAGGGGGAGGGGGAGAGGGAGAGAGAGAGAGAAACATCAATGTGTGGTTGCTGGGGGTTCTGGCCTGCAACCCAGGAATGTACCCTGGCTGGGAATCGAACCTGGGACACTTTGGTTCCCAGCCCGTGCTCAATCCACTGAGCTACACCAGCCAGGTAAAATATGTTTTAGAAATGTCTTTTTCTTACACAGTCAATTTAATATATTTGCAGTTTTAGTTACTCTTTTTATACCTGTTTTTAGTCTGTTTTATTGTAATTAGAGTATCTCATATTTATTGTGGTTGTGAATTAAAAGGATATTATAAAAAATTGACCTACCAGAGAAAATACTAAATTTGGAAAAAGTAGCATCTTAATGTACACAGTAAAATATTACCATATTTTCACTGAACATAGCATATTTTTAAAACTTTATTTTTATTTTGTTTTATTTTACTGTTGTTTTACTACAATTGTCTCAATTTTTCACCCATTGTTCTTCACTGCCCCACCCTGCCCTCACTCCCACAGTCAATCCCTACCCTATTGTCCATGGGTCATTTATACATATTCCCTGTCTAGACCCTTCCCCTTCTTTCTACTCTTCTCCCCTTCCCCCACTCTGGTCTCTGTCAGTCTGTTCCTTGTTTCAGTGTCTCTCATTCTGTTTTGCTCATTTGTTTGTTTTGTTTATTAGATTCCTCTTATAGGTGAGATCATATGGTATTTGTCTTTCGCCACCTGGCTTATTTCACTTAGCATAATACTTTTCAGTTCCATCCATACTGTTGCAAAAGGTAGGAGTTCCTTCTTTCTTTCTGTTGTGTAGTATTCCATTGTCTATATATACACACACACAATTATTTTTGGGGGGTTTTTCATTCCTTCCTTTCTATCCTTCTGTCTAGAATCCTCCTGTCTAGAGAATCATCATTAATATTTTTAATTAAGATATAATTGATAGCATTATATTAGTTTCAAGTGTACAACATAATGATTCAATATATGTATATATTACAAAGTGACCCCCACAGTAAGTCTAGTTAACATCCATCACCATACATGGTTACACATTTTTTTCTTGTGATGAGAACTTTTAAGATTTACTGTCCTAGCAAATTTCAGATATACAATATAGTGTTATTAACTGTTGTTACATTAACAACATGCTGTACATTACATGCTGTATATTCCCATTATTTGTTTTTTAACTAGAAGTACCTGTTGACTGGTTTCACAATGCTCTGTCTATTTCTTGTTTGCTTTGCTTTTGTGGGTGGTCCTCCAAGGGTTCCCACTGAGAGTTTGGGGATATTCACTGGGACTTTTTCTCACTAGTAGGTTCTAAATTCTAATTCTGAGATTTTTAATAGTTTCCCTTTTCTTCATTGGCTTTTTATCCTCTTATCTATCACAGTGTATGGATTTATCAAAAGTTTTGATGGAAAATTGTCAAATTATTAGGCCAAAATCTCTGGTCCTACCTTTCCACCGGATTTCTCTATCTCAAGACTGCCAAAAATGCTGCTAGGTTTTTTTGTTGTTGCTACTTAAGAGTAGTTCTCAGTGCCCTTTGCCCAGATTCTTATTTACTTGCTTGTGTTCAGAGTTGGTAAATAGTCAAAAGGAAAAAATGGCTGGAAAGTTTTGGCTTATTTCTCCTCTATTCCCCCTTCTTCAGGACCTGGGCCCTTCAGGTCCTGGTTGCCTTAGTAATTATTTGATACCTTCAAACTTATTTTTTCTTTTCCCTTTCATCAGGTTACTTTAGTTGTTCTCAGTGGAAGTGCTGGTCTATAGCAAGCTACTCCATCGTAGGTAGACATGGATGTTACCTATAATTTTAAATGTACTGTTATGGTGATATTGAGGTTGATTATATTAATTTATGAGATTAGGCTTTATATGATAAGGTACCATTTCCAAATATGAGTTGAAATGGATGGAACCTTTAAATAAAATGTGGCATACCAATGGAGGGAAGAAAACAGAGAAGAGAGGTAATGAATTAAGATGCACTGATAGCAGTTCTGCTGAAGTTATTATGGTGATATTGAGGACTGGCTTAAAAGTGAAGCCCTTAGTTTTTAAAACATTTGGGGATGTAGGAAGGGATTGGAAAGGGAAGAGGAAATGTTTTAATTTCATTTTTGTTACATTGATAATAGTGAGTTTGAGGCAGTTTTCTAAGCGGTTGTATCATATTTGGAGTTTTATAGCACTTAATTAATGTTATGATTTAATTACAACCAGTAATAACTTTTGTTACATAACACAAAAGACCATAGATGTTAATAAGTATGATCTTCATTCTAAATTACTTTTATAAGTACTGTTTTTTTCCTCACGTGTATATCAAAATCAATAAATAACTGCAAATTATCTAATAGTGAAAAAATTGTGTTTCTATAAAGTAGTAATGTGTTGATGGTATCAAATTTAAACAGATTTTGCATTCAATTGTTTAAAACATACATGTGAAGCAATGAATTAGAACCACTCTGACAATAGCTTCTCCATGTTCATTTAATACATAGGACATTGGCACAAACATGGAAGTATAAAACTTTTATATTCCTTATAAAAACATAAAAACTTACATGAAAAGGAGCAGTGTGAGGGTTTCAAGAAAGGTGAGGTCCTTTTTGTTTACAGATAATGTGGGAAGGTTCTTAGAGGAGGTGGGTTCTGGGATAAGCTTGAAAGGAATACAGAAAGCCTTAAAAGTGAGGGATTGGTGGAGGTGAGACTGTAATGATGGAAATACACAATTTATTTCTGGACTTGGGAGTAAATCAGTTGCTCATGTAAGAGGATTAGTATCAAGGCCAGATGAAGAGTTGACTGATAAACTAAGGATTCTTTATATGCAGGTGTGATGGGGACTCCTTGAGTATTTTTGAGCAAGGACTTGATATGATTAAAAAGATGCGTAGGAAGATTAATCTAGTCACGGAAGCCAGGAGAGGTTGGTGTAGAGAAGAGACAGGAAGTAAAGGCACCAATTAGAGAGTTTTATTTTTAAATCTAGGTTTGAAGTAATGCTTAAACTGGAGAGTAGTGGTAAAAATGGAAACTTTGGTGCTTCATTAAATCATGAAAGTCTTTAGTCTGCCTTTTGATGTTATTACTATACAAATATATAGATATTTAAAGAAAAGAAAAACTATATAACAGGCTGTTGGTCAAAATAGGCACAGTATTTCAAGAGATAAAGCACACATTTCTTCTATTTCTTCTGCTGCTCTGTATTGATAACAGCATTCAGCTATTAACAAGAACAACAAAAAACTCCCTGAAGCTAAAGTATTAATATACTTTGTAAGTGTTTATAAAACTTAACTGTCATGTTTAGTGCCATTTTAGTTTTGCAAGCAGATTTACAAAGGCATGCAGCAAATAATAAATAGAAAGTGCTGAAAGTATATTTTAATTTCTTTAGATTTTATATGCATTTTTATATTTTTAGCCAATTTAAATATGCCTAGCTAAGTCATAATACCCAAACTCCTTCTAGATATAAATTTTAAAGTGATTTCATAACTTTAAAAGAATTTGAGCTTTCTAATGATGAGTGTTCTAAATATATTATTTAAATAAATTATTTATTTAACTGAGTAAAAATTTATTCTATATTGTTTAAATTAAGATACCCACCTTAACAATAAAGCAGAACATTTGAAATAGACTTTTTAAAGACTGATTTTTGTATTATTGTTGTAAGAGCCTCTCACTGTTTTTTCCCCTTTAATCTCTTTTATAGACCAAACACTAAATTATTCTTTTCTATTGTGAATAGATAGAAATATGTTTTTTTAAATTAGAATATAGGCTAAACTGCTATTAAAAAAGAGAGCCTCAAGTCCTGAATTTTTCAAACAAGATAGAATTTTATTCCTCTCTCATTAACAGTGTAGAGGTAGGCAGATGGTCAAGAGTGAGTACAGGTGGCTCTGTTCCACAAGGTCATCCAAGAACTCAGGTTTCTTTGATTTGTTTCTTAACTATCTACTGCATTGGTTGGTATAGTAACTACTAGCCACATGTGGCTATTGGTATTTATATTTAAAATAAATTAAAATTGCAGTGTCTATACTAGCTATATTTTACATCCTCCATAGCTGCATATAGCTAGTGGCTGCTGTTTTGGAGAGTGCAGATGCAGAATACCTCCATTATTGTGGAAAGTGCTAGTGATCAGAGCTGCACTAAGAGAGTTATTCTTGTCTACATGGTGTTTGCTGGCTCATATTGGCCTGTCTCAGACCTATTCAAAAGGAAGGGAGAGAGAATGAGAGGGGCAGTAGAAAAGAGAAGGCACAGTTTTGTTAGTAAATGACCCAAAAGATGCACATATCAATCACTTTTGTCTGCAGTCCATTGGCCAAAATTTAGTAATACACTGATACCCAAGGGCAGCTAGGGTTTGCTATCTGTATGGAAGTGATCCCTGCTAAAACTTAGCGTAGTTGAGGGCCCTAGGGAGACAGGGATTCTATTACCAAAAAGAAGTAAGTAAGAATAAATACTAGATCATATGGAGCAGTCCAGGTCACATATTCTCAAGGTATTAATAATCATAATAAGAATTCTTCCTGTCCCCGAAACAGAGTAGACAAATCAAGATGGGCAGAATGTGTAATTTTAAATGACCAGGCTGAGATTAACCTGAAATTATAAATGTCTTTTATGGTTTTATTTGACTTCTTAAAAGTTTAACAAAATTTTGTTAAACATTTTGACTTCAGGGATATGTTTTGGGCATGGCATTGTCTCTGGTGTGTTGTCCCCATGCCTTAAACTTTGTGGAAAGATGATAATCTTGTGTGATTGGAAAAAAAAACTAGAACTTTTGTTTATTTCTATCTCGATTTATAGATGTTCAATAATGGTTTGAACATTTGGATGAGGAGTAGCAATGTGAAGTATGAAAAGTACTAGTTGGTGATTTTGCTGTTTCTTTTTTTTCCCCACCCCTCTTGCGCTCTCTTTGTATATATTCATCATGATTATAACCTATTTAAGGCTTATAAAACAAAGCAGCAGACTTTTCCCACATTTCGTATCTCCAGTATTATTCTTTGAGACAAACACTCTGAAATATTCATGTTACAGCTTTCATATTTTTAAATAATATGCCTATATTTAATATTGCTTGATATATCAGCTTTAGGAATTACATACTGATTACTATAATTAGAAAGAATTAGGTTCCTATACTGCTCTCTCTCTCCCTTCTTCATTGTTCTTTTATTCTTCTATTATGGTTAATATTTCTTAAACTTTTTTCATGTCTATTCAATTAATGACCTGTATCTTTTACTCTCAATTTAGCAATTATGCATTTTAGTGTTCCTAATCTTTCCTCCTCATCTCTTTCCCCTTTCTACCTCTCAATTTTTGGCATCTCTTCCTTTTAAAGTAAACTGGTCAAATATATTTACATTAGTTCCTGTAGCTATAATTCTTTTAGCTTTGACTATTGCTGGATTTTTAAAATTATGGTTAGTAAGCAGTTTGATTTTTTTATGACTATATAATTATTTTTTATTGGAAGGTTTATGGTAGAACAATTACAACTTTTAACACAGCTTCATTGTTTGTAATTTGGTTTAAAACTTCATCTTCTCTTTTCGCTTTCTTATATATTTTTTAAACATTCCCTTAATTTCTTCCCACATATGTCATACCCTTTATTCTATAGACTTTCTTCTTTTTTCTTGCCAGCTATCTCACTTTTGGAACCCTTTTTTCCTGTCTTCTAATGTGTTTTGTCAGTCAGTGTTCTTTAACCACTTTTTATTTTTACAGAATTTGTTGAAAATTTGTTTTAGTTGATGCTATTTCCTTCTTGTTCTTTTTGTAACTGTGGGTTTATTTACACTTTTAAAATTTTTTAGTGAGTAGATAGAAGCATATGCATATGCTAATACAGCATCTTGAACCTGAAGTGTTGATATTTTCAAGAGTTAGATGCCCCTATATCTGACCTTTAGAATTGTATTGCTAAAACACATGATAAAGTCTTATGTTCTAAATTTTTGAGGTGAGGGGAATTTGAGGGGAAGAAATTAATAAACATTTGTACATAACACCTTTGATATTTTTGATGTAAATAAGCAATTTTTCTAGAATAAATTTATTTTTGTTTTCTAAGACCCTAGAGTTTTTATAGATTATGATTCTACAGATTACACATTATAATTTTATAGATTATAACATTCCTTCTGTTAATAAAAATTTTCTTATCTTTTAGTCTGTTGTTAAGATAGGTGCTTTTTTTAGATTTAGAGCTATTTTTCATTACAAACTGTTCCATTACTTTATTGTCCAGCATATTTTTTTTAAATTGACCCACTTTTACCATTGTATCTGGCCAGTGACTAAATAGCATGTAGTGATGTTAAAAAAATGTTTCTTGGGTTAGAAGACTAATGTTGGTTCTGAACTCTAATGTGTCTTACCATCAGTGTGGGTGATAAGGTGTGCAATACTTTTAGGCTACTTTTTATCTTTACAAGAGAATAGTATTGTAAAAATGTCAAAAAATATCCACATGCCCAGTTCACTAGTAAATGTACTACTAAATTTGAACATTTTTGGCAGTAGCTTATGCTACTCAAGGGACCATAGTTTTACAGAATGATATATTTCAAAGGGTATTGGTTTCCATTATAGAAAAATTCATGCATTTAGAGCAACTTAAAGCCAAAACAACCGTGCTTGTGCTATATGTTTAAAATATTAGTCATCCGGAATACATGCCCAGGTTAAGTGTCAGAAGCTATACATCGCACAAAAAGAAAATTTATTGTTAGGAGACCAGGCTGTACCTGTGCTTATACAGCATTTTCCTTGGAGGATCAATTTGAGTATATGAAGTAATATCAGCCAGATTTTTATAAGTAACATTATTGATAATAAAGGAAAAGTTCATCGAGGAGAAAACAAATAAAGAAAGCATAAAAGTCTCATACTGTATTAAACTACAGAAATGGATCAGAGAGTTTGACAGGAAGTTTAATGTGTACATAAGTAGAGGCTGACAGGAACATGCTGTGTGTGCCAAAGGTTCCAGTGATGGAAAACCGAAACATAGTGCTCACTGACCACAGCATGAGCCTTGACACACATTGTAAATAATCCAGAGATCTATGACTGCATTAAGCACTAGGCTGCTGTATTAACGGCAGTAAATCTATATAGCAGCATAAAGGGCTGGCATGCAGAAATCCCTCTGATTAATATTTGTAATGGATTAATAGGAATATAGCAAATATTTTTATTTTGAATCCCACCATCCTTCACCACCCCCCTGCCCAGTCCTGCCCTCCCCAGTGTGATCATTTTTTATTCTCTTCTACTCACCAGACTTGTATCTGCGGATTCTTGCTTCAGTACCATCAAGTTAAAAGCTGAAGATGCTTCTGGTAGAGAGCATCTAATCACTCTCAAGTTGAAGGCAAAGGTATGTGCTTCGTTAAACTGTTATTGTGGTCAGGGAATACTTTGTGAAATGACCTCTATGAATGTTTTCAATGTAAAGAAATGCTAGCTGCTTTTAAAAATACACATAACAGTAGTTTAAACATTTTATTTTGAAAAGCCTCAAAGAAAATTCGCCAGGTTTCTAAAAGCCTAAATATAATTTCATGTCACTATTTTAGTTCAAATTTGATCAAAATATAGACTTCATAAAAAAGAAATATTTCAATAAGATCCAGCAGCCTCAAAGTACCAAAATGTTATTTTTGTAATATCCAGTATAGAAAGAGTTGGGAGTTTCCACTATCTCAAGTAAAGTTTTACTGAAGATCTTTTGTCTTTAACTCTTACTATGAATTAATTACCTTTGTAGTTCTTATTTCTGACCCATTCTCAACCCTCAAACACAGACACACACACACACATATCTTTTTATAATTTATTTGTTTTGACTAAACTTTTTTTACTTCTATAATTTTAAGAATTTGCCAAGGTTATGCCTCTAGGTATAGGGCCCTATATTGTAGGCTGGTGATCTATAACTACTATTTAATTTACTGGCAAAAAACATAGGTGCCTTCATCTTTATTTTTTAGTTCTAGATTGTAAATTTTGAGAAATGAGTAGACTAAGCAAGTTTAGCATATTAATCATTTATTTAGTAATCACTAGGGAAACATTAGAATTTGAGAAAACCAGGACATCTTTTTTTTTTTTATTCCCAGGAGTCATCAATCAACTCTATTTCAGAAGATTGTAGTGATGAAAAGATCAATTGTGTTTGTCCTTTTAAAAAATGTGCCTGGCATTTAAGCTTTCCAGGAGAGAGAATTAATACGTAAAGCTGTACTGGATGACACAGAAAAGTTGATGTCGTACAGTGCCTCTGTATCAGACAAGTTGAGGAATTACTCTCTTTTTCTCACACACAGAATGTTTAGGTATAATTTTAAGACTCATGTGATAACTGCTAAAAAAAATTAGTGGACTAGAAATCTTATTTGTAGAAGAAGTTACATGGATATTTTGGTTAAAATAAATAAAATATTTTCCCTTTTGATTTTTCAAGGTGTGCTTTTTTTAAGACCAGGGAGAAAGCTGCCTTTATCCTTCCAAAGGTCACATATTGCCAGTGGCAAGGGTTCTGTCATTTCCTTCAAAGCTTTATTTGTTTATAATTGTACATTGATAAAAGTTGCTTTGCTACTATGAAAATCAAAATGAGAGATTTTAAATACATCCTGTCTTGATTCTGTTTTTTTCTTAATAGCCTAATTTTTGCAAGCATTTCCACTCACTGAACAGATAATGCTTTAAGTCTACACTGCCTATATCTATTCCTACAAAATTGTATTTTTAATTCCAGTTAATGATGTTATTGAGAGCCAAATGTAGCAACTAGTCTCTTTGGTTTTTCTAATATATTCACAAGGTAGATAAAGAGACACGTTTCTCTGGAGAACATTTTTAAGTATTTTTGCAATATTGGTATCTGTGAAGCACTACCATAGGTGCCCTGGCAGGAGAGAAGAGAAAGCTTTGAGTTGAGAAAGAATTAAGAAGAAAAAAATGTTTTTTTTTCTTTTTTAAAAGACAGAGTAGAACTAAATGAATCTCATGATGGTATGATTTACTGGACTCTTTAATTGTCTATTTTGTTCAGTTTTGATAGAGACAGACTCAAGTTCTCTTTCAAATGTGATAATTTCTTTTCTAGCAATATCTGGGTCTGGGATTGTCAGTTAAAAGTAGTGACTAAAGCTGAAACTATGTTGAGAGTACATAATGCAAAATCTTAATCCAACTAAATTTTAAAGGTCAAGCTGGTTTTTTTTAACAAGCCTTAAAGCAGGCTTATTATATAAATACAAACTTTTTTTTGGATGCATTACAAAGAAACCTATGTGTTTTAGTATTTTTATCTGGAGTATATATTTCCAATTCTGCCCATTCCCCCACTGTCTCCAAAAACCCTCTAAGAAAAAAAAATTAATTTTGACTAAATTCCCCCTATTAAAATAATGACCTAAATCAAAAATAAATATGATGAGGGAAATAGTTATATTCTGTTGTTTTTATAGGTGTATTTTTATGCAATACTTACAGTATATCCTGAACTATGGGATGGAATTATCTTTCCTTGAAAAAGAAGTAGCTTAGGGCTTTCTCAGCTTTGGCAATGATCAGAACTACTTGGAAAACAAATGCCAGATGTGTATCAGAGGCTGGGCACTCCTGTCTCTGATGGCTGTTTTTGTAATCTGTGGTTTGTGTGTATTCACTTGCCTTACCTTTTGGGTGGTCGAATCACAGAACAGTTTGGGTTAAAATTTTTCTTAGAACTATATACTAGAGTCTAAATATATTACATGTGACAGGAAATATACTTTTATCATTTTATAATTGTATTATTTTGTAGTTACTGATTTGACTGAATTGGTTAAAGTAAAAATTTTAAAAGTATATATTAATTAAAAATAATTACTAATTTTTCAATTCATATTCTTTTATGTGGCATTTTTATTGTCAGAAGTGAAACTTTTGACAAGTAGTTTGTGGTAATTTTATATATACCCCTACTAACTGAAAACTATCTGCATTTTGGTAGTTATTTTTAGTTAGCTATGTTATAGTTACAAATGATTCCGAAAATGAATATCTAGGAAAGTACTTAATAATTTATGTGAAATTATCCATATGTATATAAATTTGTGCTTTTTTAGGTTCTATGAAGTTATGCCGAAAATTTGTATATAAATAAAATTGATCTTAAATGTGAATATAATTAACACATACTATATCTAAGCATTTAACTAATAATAGATATACAGCAAAGACACCTACATATAGATCAGTCTAATTTATGATTGTATGTTTACATAATTGCACATGAAATATATTTGAAAGATACTTATCTCAGAAACTGTCTCACATTTTTGTATGTGAGATCAGATTTATTATAATCTGCTTTTTTGCTCAACTATTTATTAGATCTCTTTCTATGTCAGTACATACATACCATATACTGTACTGAGTCCTACTGAAATATAAGACCATATACTTTTCAACATAATGAGTTGTATGTACTTAATGACTTCCAAAATCATAGGTACTTTACTTGGTTTAGTTACTATAAATACAGTAAACATTTCATTAACTTCATACTCTTACTCAGGTTGGTGATTTCAGTTAGAGAGTTGACATTGTTCATTGTCAGCATCAGTGGGAGATAAATAGCAGTAAGTCAAAGCAAAATAGATATTCCAATTTTGACCCATGGAGGTTTTAAGTGTGCATTATTAACTTTACGAAATTTAGCATTTTAGAGGGAAAAGAGATTTTATAACACTTTTAGTTGAATTTCATCATTTTTACTTATAAAACAAGTTTTCTACCTTGTCCAAGATCACACAAATTAGCAGAGCTGAAAACCAAAGAAAGCTAAAGTCTCTGCCTGCGTTCACTTTGAGATAATCTCGTGACTTATAAAAATGTCATAGAAATTTTTTCCAGTGATTATAGCAGTTACACTCTTAAATACATCATCTACTTTAACTGTCTGAAATAGACCTCCCTCCTTAATTTCTGCCTAGCCTTTCTTCATTTTCTTTTTTCCAAATTAGAACATTGTTAAATTTTATATGGTTTTCTATGTACTTGCCTTTGTGTTACCAGTTCTATACAGCCAGATACCATTAGTCAGAGTCTGTAAGTTTGTTTTCAGCCAAGAGATTGTAACTGAATGTTAATTCATTTTAGGGCATTGACTTCAGTCCACTGGTGTTATTTTTCAAATACTTTAGCGATAATTTTTGTTCCTTTTTGCTTCATTCAGCAAAGTAGGGAAAAATATGAAAAATTGAGTCTAAAAATTATCTTAAACATTCTGTCAAATGAGAGAAAGTTTTCCTAAAACTAAGTTTCTTTTAGCATTGGGATACATTTAGTTTTTTAATGGAAAGAAATGAGGTTTTTAAAAAAATTACAGACAACTTTGAAAAATCCAGAATTGCATTTTAGAGAAATCATGTAGTACAATTCTCTAGTTACAAAATTGATTTTAAGGAAAACTGTGTTTTGTCTTTACTTAAAAAACTGATTTATCCTAGTGACTATTACTTTTTGTATAAAACTTTTGGAAAGTTAATTTTCTATTTATCAACTATGCAAATCTTTTTCTGGCTTAAAACTATCACTTTCATTTTTCCTTAATAAGCCAGAAGGCATTTTATTGTTTCTTTTTATTTATCTTCTTACTAAAAGTAATTATTTAACTGTGGAAAATACGTCGTATAATTGATAATTATATTTTTGTACATTTCTTGATTCTGATACTGACTCCTTAAATAGTAACTGAGGCTGTTTGAGATTAAATTTTAAACTAAAAGGAAACTAATACAAATTAGTTTGACCTCTTATTTTGAAGATAAGAAACTGAGGTCCAGTGTGGTTTACCCCTCAAATCACATTAGCAGCTGACCTAACACTGACCTAATTCATTAAACTGATTCCATTGTACCGCCAAATCACCAGACTTTGTACCTCCTGAGTATAACTTGACTATTAATCAGTTCTTGACATCTCTTAAACAGTAGAATCAAAATGTTTATATATAATAAATTACATTTATAATACTTTTACTAAAAATACTCAGTCTTTATGAAATACCTCATGTGAAATTGTCACATAGAAGCAAAAAATAACCAAATTTTATGCTTTTTTGTAGTACCCTGCAGAATCACCAGATTGTTTTGTGGATTTTCCTGTTTCATTTTCTGTTTCCAGAACACCACAGGTACATTCATAAATTCATTTTAAGTAGCTAAAAGAGCATATTCTGTTTATTCGTAAGTGGCCATTATAGGTAATAAAGTGATTTTTTTAGTTTTCTTTAAACATTTGTTTATAAACAGGACTTTTAGAGTGCTTCTTTCATATTACCCAGCAGTTGATGTTCATTTTTCTCTCTGCACACACATAAACACATGTACACACCTTCCAGCCTGTAGCTCTTTATGCTTCAGTTAAGATAAATATGAAGAAGCTTTCTTGACAGAAAGTTTCCTTTAGATTTAAATTCTAAAGGATTCTTTATAAAGCAGTGATCAGTAAGGGGAAAACTGGGTGAAATTTTTCAGATTGCTAAAACTTTTAATATTGATGACATAATATCAGAGAATCTTTTTCAAAGGAGAGTGGATTATGACAAAAATATAATAAACCTTGCCATTTCAAGTCAGTTTTTATTGTTTTAAAGTGTTTCTCCTTCATTCATCTTTGAACTTAGACTATATTCTTTTTGTATATGCTTTGAAACATTCATACTTTGAATAAAGAATATGGGAGATTCTTTCTCCTGCTTCTGTCAATTGGATTTCTCAGTACATTGATGATACCTAATAAGAAGCACATTGTAAATTATAACACTATATAGGTTTGAGGCAGTATGCTTATTAGTAGTGCCATCATCAGTATTACATGTGTGATTTCTAAAGATCTGGCAGAATATGCAGTTACATTCAAAGGACAACCTAGTGATGATGGGCATGGTCCTTCTTTCACTACTAAATCATATTAGTTGAAAACAAATGAAGAGAACATTTCTGTTCTTGTGCAAAAAATAAAACTGCTAGTGACATTTTACAAGTATTTTCTAAATAGAGGATACCTATTGTTTTGTTATGAAATTTTGATCAGTTCAAGTGAAACTTTATGCTTACAATTTATATTACAAATATATAAAGTAATTATCCTGTATATGAAGTTAGTTAAAAAAAATAGCCTAACAGGATTTAAATAGTCTTGTAAAGGTTCACATGTCATTTTAATTATACATATATATTCAAAAATTATTTTTCTCATTTTTTTCTTAAAAAAACAAAGTCTTCATCCTTTCAATGGGAATTGAGAAAAAAGCAAACTAAAGGAAAGGAAAAACCCTGTATTTCCTTTTGGTATTCTGTTATATATTACCAATATATAAGAAATACTATGTTGAGTTCTTAAAAAAAGAATTAGAGTTGTATATAAATTGTATACCTTTTTTTGTTTTTAATATACATTGTCTATTTGGCTCTATAAGCTTTATTTTTGTCTTATGTGGGATTATGAGATGACATTGTACTTAGATTGTATTACTCTTTACAGATATGTTATCTCTAAATTATACTTTAATACTTATCTAAACCCAAGATTGAAGAATGTTTTTCGATGTTCCTTAGTTTTTTAACTTGTATGTAGATAACTATACAAGTTTCCCCCAAACTTGAGCCTGAAAAAAAGTTTACATCTCATCCTGGCTGGTGTGACTCAGTGGATTGAGTGCTGGCCTGCGAGCCAAAGGGTCACCAGTTTCAATTCCCAGTCAGGGCACATGCCTGGGTTGCAGGCCAGGCCTGGTGCCCAGTAGGGGGCGCGGGAGAAGCAACCACACATTCATGTTTCTCTCCCTCTATTTCTCCCTCCCTTCTTCTCTGTCTAAAATAAATAAAATATTTTAAAAAAATAAAATTTGCATCTCCACAGAAAAATGCGATTTAGCAAACTTAGTTTGTGACTCTACTAGGCTGAAAAGTCTTTAAAGAAATTTTAAAAAGATTTGTATCCCTACTTAACACTAGTTCAAGTGTCTTGCACGTGTAAGTATGGAGTTAAGGGTTTATCATACTAATTCAAATTAAAGTTTTAGATTTAATTGGGTCATATAAGTTTTCTGTTTTGTACTAGCTCCAAGAAAATAGAATTAATTAGTAGTAACTGGAATGTTACAAATTATTTTTTAAGTTATAAACTATACTAAAATTTTAGCAAATCACAGATAAAAATTTGGACACTTTTTTATCCACAACTCAAATTTGACAGATGTTAATATCTTGTCACATTTGCTTCAGTTATATCTCTTCCTGTTTCTGCCTCTCAGGACTAAAATGTGTTTGGAACAACTGAGACTTGACCCTCTTTTCCCTCTCTCCTTTCTTCTTCATTTACTTCTTTTTATTTTTAGATGTAACCACTTCCCTGAAATCAATGTGTATCGATGTGTATTCATATTTTTGCTACATTTGTTAATGCCATATTCTGCATGGCACTACAGCCTGACTTTTTCTGAGGTTTACCAATGATCCATGCATGTTTAATCATTCCATTATATGAATCTACTAGTTAATTTATCTGTTGCCCTACTGATGTGGTTGTTCACAATTTTACTAAATGTCTTGCTGCAGTGAACACCCTAACGTGATTGTTTGTACACATTAGACTCTTAGTGTGTGTTATGCCTAGAAGTAAAGATGCAGGATTGTTGGTAAATGCACCTCTTTGAGATTACTAAACATTGCCAGTTGCCTTCCCAAATTGGTTGTATGTTTCCACTCTTACCCAGCAATGCATAGTATGATTCCAGCTTTTCCAGCCCCTTCCAAGTCTTGGTCTGGTTTTATTCTGACCTTAATTCTTATCAAGAATGATAAGTCATTATTACAGTGCTTATAATCTTAGCCTCTTTAATTTTTTTCTCTATTATAAGCCTTTCTTCTGTATTTTAGATAATTCTTTGTTATTTTGGGTTGTACGTATATTCTCCCTGTGGCATGTCTTTTAACTTTGGATATGAAATAGTTTTTCAATCAGAAGTTTAACTTTCAGTATGGTCACATTTATCAGTTTCTTGCTTGTGATTTTGACCTTTTTTTTTTTTTGTCTTGAATGGAAAAATTTTGGATATCTTGTTCTGAGAATATATTCTATAGTTCTAAAAGTTATACTTTTAAAATATTTAAATAAGTATTTAAGTATAAGATAAGAATTTGCCTATTTTATATATGCTTATAGAATTTGGATGTGCCATCTTCGTTTATGGAGATCAGGGTTGGTTTCAGTTTTTCTTTTATACATGCCATTTAATATTAGAAAATTTTCAAAATATAATATTTACCTATTCTTCTAAAGTATGGATGTACATGGTAAGTATTTTGGTGATGTTAACAGGGCTATGAACTCTTCAGTCTTTAGACATGATAAGAGTATTGATAATGTGTTTTGAAAGCAAGAGGTAATATCAGAATTTTTTGCTGTTTTTTGGCCTTTTTTTCATTGACTTGTTGGAAAGAATTCTGCTTATGGGAGGGTTTTTTTTTTGTTTTTGTTTTTTTTGCCAATTGTTAAACAGTTGTTCTTAAGCAAAATAAATGTTACTATTATAGTGTAATAACAAATTTATATTTAAGAGACAGTAGGTTATAGATAACTTGATCTTCAAAAAATTCCTTGTCTGCTTTCATACCCTTTTTCTTTGGATTCAGTATTTCTGGACTTTAAACTTGGAAGATCTTTATTTTCCTTTCTTTTTGTAAAATAATAGACGTGGCTTTGTGGCATCCATATTAAAAATGGGTAATTTTCCTTATGGTCCCTGTCTTCCTGCTGGGTTGATAATGTTTTGATGTATTTTTCTTTTGCTCTGATGAGAGGTCTGCTGCTGCTGCTCTGACATATTCATTTGGATGAATAATTATAACTTGCACAATGTCAAGCTGAAGATGGTAGGGTTTTGTGCGTCATGACAAGCCTAGTAGCCAGTGCAGGTGTCTCACAGCATGATCAGCAACAGCCAGTGTATTCTGGCTCAGAGGAGACATTTAGAGTAGTAAGAAATCAGCACCAAGGGCAAGGCTGCTGCTACTACTGCTGCTGTGATATGTGCCAAAGAAACACAAAGTGCTTCTCAAAGACAAGTGACTGCACACCTCTTTTCAGCTATTTACTTTGTTTACTCCATTGAATTTTCTTTTATAGATTTTAGTAAATAATGTGAGAGTATACTGTGATTTTTATCTTATTCTACTTTCCAACATGGCAAATGCTCCAAAATGGATCTTTAACAATCTGCTGTCTTTTGGACTTTTACATGCAAGTCATATATGTGAGTATTGTTGACTAATGCGACTGTAGAAGTCCCTAATGTAAAATTTTAAGTGCACTGATGTTGATTCTATAAAAAACAAAATTCATTTTCTCCAGGTCGCTGACCAACCCGAAATGGTTGTTAAAATTGCAGTTACCTATAAATGTGCCATTAAATACAGGCTTGGTGAAGTATTCTTGCCAGAGTGGTTGGAATTTTCAGATTTGGTATGATACCGTAAGCAGAGGTCTTTATATTTTTAACATGGAAATCTCATATTCTTGGAATAATGCCATGAATGCAAGAAGAACAAAACTAATGATAAAGCCTCTGGCTGATAATCTGGTGGTGAACGAAGAATTTGTAATTAAAGGAAACAGTTCTATTACATAGCAGGGAGCATGATCCATTAGTTAGAGCAGCAGACTGGCAGTTGGGTATCCTAGGCTCTGTTTACAGTTCAGCCATTGACTTAATTGTGTAACTTCAAACAAGTCACATGACTGCCATTTACCTCAGTTCATATTTGTATGGAATAATGAACTTTTTCATAGAGATGTTAAGAAAAATAAATTTGGTTTAAAACGACAAGGGGGGAAAATCCCTCAATATCCACTGTGAGAATCTTGTGGAAATTCTTTTCTGACCTACTAGATTATCTTTCTTACCATTTTTCTCTTTGCTATCTTTGTTGGAGAACCCATAGTACTAGATTTTTGTTCACTCTTAAGTTGGTTAATTAAAAATGCTTTTATCTTCTGGTAATCTTGTTATTGCCACAATAGTAAGGATAAAAAGACATCACAGCAATCAAAACAAAGAAATTTCATTCGTTATGGAAATACATGATATTGTTTAAAAAAAAAGCAATGTGGACTTACTGGACTTAGTAA